ATACCGTTACGTGTGTATTTACGGCTCCATGGGACACAAGGAGAAAAACACACGTAACGTTACGGACGCAATCCCTAGTAACTTTTGCGGACTTCCGGTGCGGATTACGGATTACGGGTTCTATGTGACGCCGGCCTCAGTCCCTCTATTCCTTAGTCCGTGTTACGGACGAAATACCTAGTAACTTTTGCGGACTTCCGGTGCGGATTACGGATTACGGGCTGTATGTGACGGCACCCTCACACAGTTGTCGATCTGTGTCTCCTAGATGGAAAGCTCCCTGTGTCGATCTGTGTTTCCTAAATGGAGAGCTCCCATATATATTTTTTTTCTATAAGATAAACGTGCAAGACAAAATAAGCATCTCCTCTTAGACTCTTTCTCTCTCGGTTCAGATCCATCACGCAAAGCTTGTGCTCTCGGCTTTACTCCAGTATGTTATGGGTGCTTTTCATTTAGGGTGAAATCAGATGATACGGAAAAGAGCTGCGAAACGGAGAGTGCGTCATTGAGACAGCCAATCACAGCTATTTGAGTACGATTGTATTCCGCAAGTGATTGGCTGTCTCAATGACGCACTCTCCGTTCCGCAGCTCTTTTCCGTATCATCTGATTTCACCCTTATATAGCTCACTGAACAAGCGTAGAAAAACTGATCAACAGCAGTGCTACCAGTCGCCAGCCGTTCGTATTTGGGTTAGATAGGTTAGACGCGTATTCAACGGAAAGCACGGAAAGTAACTTCTTGGAGGAACTTGACTTTGATTTGGATATGGATTTTTCATCACCGGCTGACGTTAAACGAATGAATCTCCAAGTAACTCATAAGTTTACTGTGTTTATAAATTTTCTGTTATGATTGAACAAATCTAAATAAAAAAATGATTAAAATAATAATTGCGATCAACTTTTGACAATCATATTTACTTTCTCATTTTCACAATACAGGAGGCTCAAATATCGTCGATACAGAGAGACATAGAGTCGTTGGAGTTTGTGGACCAATGTAAAGAGTTCTCCAGCTGTCAGAAAATAAAGTGAGTGGTGATGCACACGAAGAACTGTAAGAGAAAGACCAATGATGGCTGTTCAATATGTAAACAATTTATTGCTTTTTGTTGTTATCGCACAAAACTCTGCCAAAAGACCAAGTGTTTTGTTCCATTCTGCTCAAACATAAAACATATGATAAGAAAGCAGCAATTGTGACAACGATTACAACTGGCACAGCTCAGATCAGTAGAATCATATTGTTACTTAAATGTAATACTAAAATATCAGAAAATTAAATTTTTTAATAATTAATTTGCATAAATTGACGATAATGAAACTAATAAATATTAATACAAAGTAAAATAATTTAATTATATTTTTAAAATTGCATTTTTATTTAAAAAAATAAAACTCAGGTTTGCAATATATTTATATGTCACTATTTAAAGATATAAAATTAGAATAGTGATATTTTCTACAAAGCATAGAAATCTTTTTATTTCAACATGTTTGCCACTTATCAATTGATAAAGCATTTTTAATGATAGGATTAAGATATCTATTTGCTACATTGAAATTAAGAAAATAATTCGCAATGTTTGGATCTATATGTGGAATTTCTTATCTGAGAATATCATTTATTTATTTCTTATAGTCTTTTCTTTTACCATTGCTTTATTTATCTGTCTACCTATAGTTATCTTTATCTATCTATATCTATTAGTATTTAGGAATTTTCATAAGTTTCAATTTTTGCGCTTGTTCTAGGGAACGCGAATAGCTGTGATGAACATAAGTTTGACTGGACCTGTAGTAGCCGTAATGCAGGCCAGCAAACCTCGAATGTCAGTATAATATCGGATTGAAGCTTAGTACATAAACACCTTATATGTTGTAGATTGTAAAGCAGGTTCCAAAGGAATCAGCGCGACAGCAAACAACAACAAACAACAACCAACAATAACAACAGCTGATATTTCCTTCTTTCCTTTTTTGATGACGAATGTAAGGGAATGTATCAGTAAACGAGATTACGAAAACTTTGTTTCTTATCCTAGAACAGCGATATCAGTGGCACAAAGGCTGTGCGAAAATAACATTTCTTCTCGCATGATGATTAAGATGCAAATGTGGATACGATTAGACTCATTTTCTGTAAAATTAAAAAAATTTTCTAGTAAGTTTCTCTAGATTGTAAAAATTAACGACAGTTACTTAGGGCCAAGCAAATTATTATGATCTCTATAAAGCTATAAATTTAAAAACCTGCTAAGTAAGTTTTAGATTCAAGCAAAGACTTTTCTTGTAATGTATCTTCAGCAATAGCTTATCTACTTTATGTGTAAAAATCCGCAGTTAGCTATAATCAGGGCATTGAATGTTCGATCTTGGGTTCGAATCTTACTGATCTTAATTAACCATAACGGGATCTGAACGTATCTTTTTTCTGAGACAATGCTTTTAAGTTTTTCATCAGCTTGTGCTACGATGATAATAAGCGTGTAAGTGACCGACGAGAACGCGGGAAGACGAGCAAAAACATTTTACTACATAATTAAAATTTCCTGATAAGGAGGCCCATATGTTCAAATAGCATTAATAAGTTTGCTTCGTATTTATGCTCTTCTTTACTGTCGTTTTTTTTTTACTACGTACACATTTGTTCATATGCTTCCGATGTTCTCGCTTTCAACGCAAAACATAGTAAGACTGATCGGCATTATCAGTTGCTGCATTGTGTGCAGAGGAAGAAGTGAATGTTTACAATCATGACTTGCTTTAGGATTAAATCCCTTGTGACAGTGATTTCATCCGATTGTCGATAGAAATTTCATTTCTCTATATTTCGCTGCAGACAGCTTGTGTCATATTATTTTTTTCTTTATTAAATTTTTTTTATTCAAAGAAAAAGAGAAGAGGAGTTAGGCAAACGTTTACGGTTCACTTCGCTCACGTACGTACATACGCGAGCATGTAATACCGCGACCGACCGAAAGAGAGATGGGTCGATGCACTGCGCGTGCACGCGAGACTAGACATAAATCGTAGGCCGCGAAACGACCGCGTGCGCGGTAACGATCGATTACACTTTTCCTGAATTCGTGCGGCGTAAAGAGGCAAGCGTGAACGCGATGGATATGGTACGATCAGCTCGAGCGACAGTTCTCCGTCCGAACTGTTATCGAGTTTTGAACAAAAACGAAGTTACGTAATAGCTGTCGAACAATCCGTGCGATTATTTTTCCCCGCTTGCCGTGTACGCGGGGTTATCGATCACGCATTAAATCTTATATCGTTTGGAGCATCGATTTATTCTCGATCTGATGAAGATGGTTCATCAGTCTTCGCCGCACCTCCTTTCGCATGGTTTCTCGCGACATGTCTTTTTTCTCCGCGAGAGAGAGGGAGAAAGAGAGAAAGAGAGAGTAAGGCAGCGACTGTGGATGAGCAACGCACAGTGCTGCGTTCCTCTGCAAAGTATTGATATACAAAGAGAGCCGCTGTCACTGAAGCGGGTGGCTAAGCGGCTGCTGCCACGCCGTCATCAGATTCCCGTCCCATTTCCAAAGGCCTCTTTCCAGCCTCTTCACCCTCCGCCGCCGGAGCGTTCACCCGTTTCTTTCCTGCTCTCCTCGTCGTGGGCCGCGGTCGCCGCGCGCTACCACAACTGAGACAGTCGTCGTCGCGCGAGAACGAGACGCCAACAAGTTCACGCGCGATGCGTGCATCAGGTCGCGTGCCGTTCGCACCTCCATCTCGCGCGCGACTCCACGAACGGAGCCGAGCGTTCCGCGCAACGTGCCCTCTCCCCCCGTGTACACGGCTGGCCGTTCTTCCCGACTCGTCGATCGAGAGATCATCTTGGCCATCTTGCGACACATCTTAAATTTTTCTTCCTCGGGGCTATCAAGAATTCGAAAGACGTATCGTCTCATGTCGCCGCCACGTCCCACGGTCCCCGTGCTCGTATCGCTTACTGAGAGAGAAAGAGAGCGAACGCGCGCGAAAGACATCACATAGGGACGATGCGATGTATCACAGCGGCGAAAGTAATTCGAGATAAAAAACGACATGGCGCGTGCCGCACAATCCATTCGCGCTTACTTTCGCGACGATACTAATTCTATGTTTTGTTCGAATATGACATAACACAGAAAGCCACATGGAAATTATTTAAATCGATATATGAATGAACAGAATAGATTTAAGGAGATTTGGAGCTAAATAATTAATTATAATTAATGTAATTACAATTATTTTCATGCTTTTTTATTAATAATTTTCAATTAATCATTTATACGTATATAATTAACTTTTAATATTACACTTCGATGTTTGTTACATTTTAATCAGTTTGATATATCTTGTTAGTATATTTTAATCAATTTATCATCAAAATATATTTTTATTTTATGTAGCAATGAACTATATATTATAAAGATTTGTCATTCTCAGTAAGATAACTATTCTAAGGTGTTAAGGAGATTATTTTGAAATCCTTCAGTATATTGTGTATGGACTTCCAGTATGGATCTGACAGGTCTATTTCTCCCTCC